TGGCTGATTCATTCATTCATTCATTCATCCACAACAAGGCGCATATTGTTGTCCCGTTGTTGCTTAGTTAGTTTGGCGAAGATCTCTTATTGAGCAGTTCGTCAATGTCCACTACCATATCGTTGGGGGCAATCTGCGGGCTAAATCTCTTGTAAGGCTTTCCTTCATGATCCACCAGAAACTTGGCTGCAGATTAAAAAAAAATACGTAGGAAGAATTAGAATCAATCGTCTGGGTTACCAAAAGTAGAGTCCCAGGTAAAGGAAGGAACGAAGAAACGAACATGGACGACAACGTACCAAAATTCCATCGAATGCCAGTGGTTCCATCATCGTTGGGCAGTGTATGTTTCAGGAAGCCAAAGACTTCTCTTGTGTTGGCTCCATTGACATCCCCCTTTTCAAAGAATTCCAGTTTCTGCAGCACCCAGGCAAATAAAATCATCAGACAACTACCTGGTACTCACTGGTAGCACATCCAACCAGCTTTTGGTTGTCTATCTATCTACTTACCTCTGGCATGTCCGGATCGAATGTTTTGGTAAACTCGATAATCTCTTGGTGCGTTCCCGGCTCTTGTCCTCCAAATTGATTGCAGGGAAATGCCAGAATTCGCAGGCCTTTTCCCTTGTACTTGTCTGCCATGCTGGCGAGTTGGATATAGTTTTTCTTGGTCAAACCTCATTTCGAGGCAACGTTGACCACCATGACAACGTCGCCCTTGTACGAGTTGGACATGGGAACTTCCTTGCCCAGCATGTCGCGGTCAAAGCAGTCGTAAAAGGCCATCTTGAGCACTTTGGCTTCGGCACCAAAGATGACGCGGTTCACACCGTCCATCGCTTTCGAAATCAAGTAACTCATCGTTGCGTCGTTGTTTGTTGTGAACAATACACAACACTGGACCCGAAGATAGATTATGGACTTCGGTGAGGTTACAGCGTAGTGGTCCTTGGGACTGTGTCAAGAAACAGCAACGATTACCTCACGCTCTGGGACTTGCAAGGATGGAGTTGGAAATGTTCTGGCACGGCGAGTGGGTAGTTTCTTGTGCTTTCATTCATCGGTGGCACCTGATGACTCTACCGGTAAGAAGTGTCATGATCGAATTCTGAGTCAGTTTCAGTAAGCCGATGGGACTGCCCGTTGACCCCCTTGGGCGGGCTCCTGATGCAGATGACGCCAAAGACCGCGACGTCTATTTATCAAACCCTGCGGACGTGCAGTATCTTGACACAAACGGAAGCTACCCGGAAGCAGTGCATGTACATGTATGTATGTAAGCTGCCAGGACGGACGCTGATCCAGAGAGATGGGTGGCCACCTCAAAAAAATTGTAGCTTTGCAATGGGTATCGGGGAAAGATTCCCTCGAGACCTTTCGAAGCTGCTTTTGGATGAGCGAAGCGATATCAAGTAGAACAGAAAGAGCGCAACCATGGCAGCTGTGGAAGTCATTGACCTTGTGCTGACCGTCAACAAGGCCGATGGCCTTGCAGCCAAGGACACCAACATGTTTGGTGTCAAGACCAAGTCGGATCCCTACATTGAAGTACGGTTGATCCCTCGAGGATCTGCCATTGAAGGTAGGGTTGTGGACAAGAAGGACAAGATTTTTCTGGGCAAGACGGAAACCAAATTGAAGACTCTGTCTCCCAAATGGGATCAATCCTACCACATTTCCGTTCCCCGCAAAGACTTTAATGAGTTTTCCATTTTCGAATTGACCATTATGGACAAGGACATTACGTCCTCCGATGACCTCATGGGAGTGGTGCCCGTCCATGTTCCTGTGGGTCGATGGGGGACCTTTACCAAATGGTATGGAGTCCCAGCATCTTCGGCCAAAGGAGAAGAAGCCACCGGACGCGTCCAGTGTACCATGTGGATGGAACACAGTCACAAAACCCCAGAAGAAATCAAGGCCGCCAATGAGGCCACGGAAGCTGGTATTGGGAACAATGACAAATCAGAACTTCCAGAGCTGGCCGGTGGAAAGGTGGAAGTCATCACTCTCAAGCTCACTGTCAAAAAAGCATCGGGACTGCCGGCCATGGACAAGAATATTATTGGTATGAAAACCAAGTCCGATCCATACATTGAAGTCAGATTGTGTCCCAAAGGTCCTGGTGGAGGACCGCAAAGCAAAGTAGCGTTGGGGAAAACAGAAACCAAAATGGAAACGTTGAATCCATCCTACAACCAGGTATTTGAGGCTCCGCCCCTGTCACTCAAGAGCTTTAGTGACACTGCCAGTTTTGAACTCACCATTATGGACTACGACGAAAATGGCGAAGATGATCTCATGGGAATGGTGACAGTGCCCATCAAATTGGACAAATCGGCAAGCAGCACCAAATGGTATGACGTACCCAAAGATTCGGGGGAAGGAGGAAAGGCTTCCGGAAAGGTACAATGCATGCTTTCTGTTTCCAAGGATATCCAAGCCTCGGCATGTACAGCAGATACCGAGGTGAAATTAAAGGCGGCATTGGCCGGCAAGTCCAAACCCACGGGACCTCCACCTCCCAGGACCTCTGTGATGAAGAGGACAGCATCCATGCGGCGAACTAATAGTACGGACTCGGAGGCCAAAACGGTTCAAGAGTCACTGAGACGCAATCCCATCGTGGCGCCAATGCCAATGCCAAAACCACCGAAACGAATGGCAGAGCCAAGAGCCAGGTCCTCGAAACCCCATCCACCAGCAATAGCAGGCAAGCCAGTCGTGTGTCAAGAGCCTGTCTTTCCAAGACCTTCTCCTGGAGAAGCAACTGTCAGTTGTAGCATGTGCCCGTTTTGTGAAAAGGGCAATCACAGAAAGAAGGATTGCCCAGAATGGCTGGAGTTTCAGGCATTCAAAAAACAAAAAGAAAAGGAACGAGAGGAGGAGGAAGAACGCCGCCGAAAGAAATTGCTCAGTGTGAAAGGTCGATTGGCAAGAAGAACCTCAATGTCCGGAGGCAGTGAGCGACAAGCACCCAAGCGCCAATCATCAATGCGAATGCGTAGATCAAAATCGGACGATTTCGACGATTTAAGGAGATCTTCCCACGGCATCCGAAAACCCCCTTTGCGACAAGGCAGTATTAGGGTATTACCGTCCTCATCCTCGTTGTCGCGCAAGTCCTCCAAGGATGGAGAAAGGGTTTTCAAGAGGGCGTCGTCCATGCGCCTGAAACGTCCAAGCAGCATGGAAGGTTCTCCGATAAAAGTCGAGGGAGGAGAGCTCCGTGGCAATCAACGGACAAATTCCATGAAGAGGAGCAATTCCATGAAGAGAAGCAGTCGCGGCGAGGAAAAGAAGGAAGGACGCATGAAGAGAACGTCTAGTCGCGACGATGGTGATGAAAAGATGGAGGTAGATCGTCGCATCAGGAGACCCTCCAGTTTCGACGACGCCGGTGAAGCGCAAGAGAGAGAACCTCGCGTGAAGAGAAGAACCAGTGGTAAAAAGAGTCTTACTGGCGAGCGAATCAGCTCTTCAGGTTCGAGGAAACAAAAACAGCGACCCGATGGAACAAAGCATACTCCTTCGCTGTCCGAGAGGAAGAGTAGTTCACGCGACGTAGTGTCGGAAAGCGAAAGCTGTAGCAGCGAGGGACTCGAAAGCGAGGCAAGCATCAATTGGTAGCCGCGCTGCACGGTACGGTACTGTACGGTAGCGCCAAGTGATGGCAATGTCAAGCTGACTACAGAGACTTTTGCACAGCTTGCCCAAACACGATAATGATCCCTTTGGGTGAACAACCCCTAAGCTTTCTTATGTTGCAGGGCATGGCAGCCAAACTCATCCATCAGCTACAGGAAGCCAGTGACATAGCACATGGTTGTTGTAGATTGACTTTTATGAGATTGAGCTGGCCTTAGGATAACCGCAAATTGGATAGCACTGCTAGCCAGTACATGTAGCTATGCAACTGCAAACTAACGGAATTGAGTGCATGTACGTAGCTATGCAAGCCTGCAGTTTTGCAGCTGGTGACGGGAACGATTGGAACCCTGCGCATCAAGCAAATTTAGAGGAACATTTCGCCGTGTGCTGCACTCTGGAGTAGTCTATAACTTCCCTCGCGATCTTTCGAAGCCGTTGCTACCGGTATCTGGATGAGCTAGCTAGCCAACTGAGGGAGGCGAGCTAAAGGTACTAGCTACGGTAGTACTCGTGCAGGGTGATTGTTTTGATTTCTTGCTAGACTAGTGGAACCTGTTTTGGCCAGCCAGTAGCCCCCCCAATACCGGTACTGTACGTACCATAGCATCCTTCATGCTCTCCAGGAAAAGGACGCTACAAGGTCAGTTCAGCACTATGCTCGAGGTACATGTACCTCACGAGAGTCCTTGGTGATGCTTTTCCTAGTGTTTACCAAGGTGGTGCAAAGCACGCATAGCTATTTTTTCATATCTACCTGCAAAAAATCCGGTTGACTTGTGGTCTCTTTTTTAACTCCTTAACCTCTCACAACCGAATTTTCCAAGTAGACTCCTCTTTGTTCATTTAGTCATTCCTATGCATGCAGTTTCTTTCTTTGTAAAGGGCTAGATCCTATCTTTGGGTGCCATTGTATGTTGCTAGCTTGGCTTCTCTCTCTGGTGATTGTCGTGTTCACACAAACATTACAGTAACACGGGGCAGAGCGTATTGTCGTCATTTGCTCGATTCGATTCGATTCTCTACTTGTTTTCCTTGTTGAACAAGGAAGCAAAGGGATTCTTCACCTTTGGCTTGCTTGGTGCTGCCTTCTTTGTTTTCTGCAACTCGTTGGCTTTGGCCGAAACGTTCTCGGCCAACGACGATGCTGATGACTTGAGGTTGCCAAACACGGAAGTAGCCTTGGATTTAATTTCCTCCAATGGAGTAGTAGCATCCAAGTCGACGGGTCGATTCCCGACTTCTCGTTGGAACTTCTTCATGGCATTCTTGAGCTTGTCGCCGGGCATGTTGGCATTGGCAGCCACTTGTTCAAAAACAGAAGTGATCATGGCATCTCTTTCGTTCTTGGACATGAGGTCCTGGAACAATACGGTTGGCTTTTCGGGGGCGCTTTCTTGCAACACCGGTTCTTCCACTTGGGGTTCCTCTTCCTTGACGGGTGCAGAAATTTTCGCCTTCATTTCTTGTAGCTGATCCAAGTAGGAGCCCCACGTTTCCGTGGAAACCTTGGGAGGCTCCTCCACCACTGGTGGTTGAGTTGCTGCTTCTTCCTCTTCCTTCAACATGGTTACCATGGCATCTTCAATGCGCAGCGAAGCACGCTTGATGACCTTCTGCACATTTTCCTCCTTTAACGTTTGCTGGATGGGCATCTTCTTCTTGGCAGGGCTACTCTTTTTCATTTCCGCTGCCACGTCCTTGACGGCATCTCCCAAAATGGAACAAATCTTGACGAATCCTTGGACACTGTTGCTCATCTTATCCAACGCTTCCTCGTAAGTAATATCCATGTCCTCCACCATTGTGGTATTGAGGGAGCTCTGAATTTCCTTGACCATTTCGAATCCACCCTTACCAACGGTGGCAAAGCTTTCCATGATGGAATCGGTCATCTTGGAGGCCCAACCAGTCGACAGCTTGAAGTCAATCTTGGGAGCTTCCAATTTCATGCCCATTTTCTTCAGTTTGGATGCTACGGTTTCTTCCTTCTTGGCCACAACAGGTTCCACAACCGGAGGAGGAATCTCCACCTTCTTGGGCTGTTCCATCTTTGGTGGAGGAGGGGTGGAAGCCACAACCTTCTTGGCCACGACAGGTTCCACCACCTGCTTGGGCAGTTCCACCTTTTTTGGTTCCTCCATCTTTGGTGGAGGAGGGGTAGAAGCCACAACCTTCTTGGGCTGTTCCATTTTTTTGGGTTCCTCCACAACAGTCTTCTTGGCAACAGGGATTTCTACCTTTTTGGGTTCCTCAATCTTTGGTGGAGGCGGGGTAGAAGCCACAACCTTCTTGGCCACGACAGGTTCCACAACCTTCTTGGGCAGTTCCACCTTTTTGGGTTCCTCAACCTTTGGTGGAGGAGGTGTGGACGCGACAACCTTCTTGGGCGGTTCCATTTTCTTCTTCTCGTCCATCATGGCCTTGCTGACCTGAGCCATTTGTTGGGCAGGAGTCATGATTTCTTGCTTGGCGGCAGCAACATCAGGTTTTTTGCTGGATTCCTTGGCCTTTTTGGCCTCTTGGATCAACTCGAGAGGTGTCTTGCTACTCTTGGACTCTCCTCCGACTTGAAAGTTTTTCAATTCCTCGAAATTAGCATCCCACGTGGCATCCACGTCCTTTTTCTTCTTGTCCGTTGTGGTAGTCGTAGCCTTGGGAGCACCAAATCCCTTGCCGGCAGTCGTCTTCTTGGTAGTACTGTCTTGATCCACTTGGCGCATGGTGTTCTGCAGAGCTTGGTTATAGGCATCCATAGTGTTATCCGACTGGTCCTTTTCGGATTCCTTTTTCTGGATCTTTTCATTGAGACTGTCCAATTCGGCGTCCATTTTGCTGGCAAACGATTTGGGATCGATATCCTTCTGCTTCTTTGTTGGTTGCTCTTTCTGCTGGAGTAGTGGATCCGAGGTGGAATTGCCCACACTCATGGAAAGAGCACCCGTGTGGCTCACCACGACAAAGTGGTTGTTGGTTCGACTAGGCATAACATGACGACTACTGGGTGGTGGAGAAAATGCGGCGAGTGTCTCTTGACAGGCCATCCAGGCCACTAGAGCAGAGAGTTGGATCTTCATGGTCACCTATTGATTCGTCAGAAGAAATTAGAAAAGAGTGTTTGTTGCGAGAGAGAGAGATGACTTCCGTTGAAGGCTTTTTGAAAGTCAAGTCAAGTTGTGAGCTTGATCGGGAGGCGGTGATGGATGGCGGGCAAGTGGAAACCAATGCGGTTAGATCTCTATGGCAGTTCCGAAGATTGGAGCAGCCATGAAGCCCAGCTTCCCATCAAACTTGATGTCTCGCTCTGATTGGTGTTGTGCTCTTTGCTCTGATTGGTGCGGTGCAGCCGAACAGCTGCTTCTGTTTGCATCAAGACGTCACTTCGTGTCGAAAGAAAAAATGGATCAACCTTGACCCTAAATTTGTTCTGAAATCATCTGAGTCATGGATCTTCGCGTCCCGAATAGAAAGATCCAAAGATCCAAAAGATCCAAGAATTCTGCTTTGCCATCATCAGCCATCATCTATCTTGAGTGACAGCATTAACGAGTGTCATTGTCAGCTCTTCATCGCTTGATCAATCGTCCATTTGTTTGCTGCAACTATGCCTCGTTTCTGGCTCTTTGTTTCCTCACTGTACTTGCTGCTGCTGGTTGCATCGGCACCAGTCTGTCAATCATGGCGCTTGTTTCCTGCCATTCGGTTTCGAGGAGGAGGCTTTCGAATGACCAGAGGCAATGGTGGTGCTAGCAGCAGTTGGACCAAAAGCGCTGCTTCGATTACCAAAATACTGAAAGAATTGGATTTCCTCAATAGCAAACTGGACGGAAGCGTCATTGTCGTGGGTCATGACAACCTAGGCAAGGACACTCTACTCAGTGACTTGTATGACAAGGAGGGTGGTCTAACATGGATGAAACCAACGCCAGTACCACTTGCCATTGTCCAAGTGGCTTCCGAGTCGGATGTTGCCGTGGCGGTGCCCATCTTGGTTCGTCTTCAAAAAGACTTTGGCATTCCATTTCGAATCCGATCGGGAGGACATCATTACAATGGCTACAGTTCGGTGGAAATGGGGATTGTGCTGGATATTGGAACGAACCTCAACAAGATTACGCTGTGTCACAATGATAATAATGGTAGTGAGGAGGAACCATTGGCGTGGATAGAACCCAGCGTCAATGGAGGAGACATTTGGAAACAACTGATTCAAAAACACAAACTCGCCGCCATTATGGGAGGATGTCCGGCGGTCAATCAAGGCGGGTTTCTCCTCGGGGGTGGATTTTCCTACTGGTCCCGGTTATACGGATTGGGATGCGATCGCATGGTAGCAGCCCGTGTAGTACTGGCCAATGGGACGATTGTCACGGCCAATGCCACCAATTCACACAGCGACTTATTCTGGGCATTGCGGGGTGCCGGGTCGGCAGGGCCCATTGGCGGAGTCGTGACATCATTCCAGGTGAAACTCTTTCCCACACAAGACGAACAAGTGTACGGCATGGGCAAAATTCCATCGGTCGAAGAAGCCGCACATTATTTGACCAATATTGGGACGCGAACCAATCTACCAGGAAATGCCGGGATTACGTTATTCTTGTTTCCCAAACAGTTTTATGGTGACGAGTGGCTTTCCGTGTACAATTGGTATGACAATGGCATTCCACAACTGCAAACCGGAATGACCTTGTTGAATGCAACCTTTCGGGATGCCTTGTTACATCCCGACACGGCCCGTGGTTTTGGCATGGAGATCCAATCCGGAACGGAACATTCCAAAATGGGTCTCATGGAAGGACGTCTCTGGCAAGTATGGAATGGATTCCTCATGCCAGAACAATGCAACACGCAAACTTGGACCAAACTATTGACTATCATGAGGGAGATGCGAGATGCGTGTGAAGGCTACGTCACTATTGAAGTCTTGCTGTGGGGCGGTGCCATTTCCGATGTTTCACCCAGCGAAACTGCATTCTTTTGGAGACGGGGCATTTACAATATTTGCGTCAATCTCGGTGTTCCCGCCCATGTGGAAAACGCCGAGGTCATTTTTGAACGTCATCGTGCCTATCTCAGCCGAGCGTGGCCCAAAGTCAACAAGTATCTCCAGGGGGCGTACTATAATTATCCAGTGCAGGGCAAAAAGGAAGGGAATTCCGATGTGTACTTTGGAGGAAATGTTGCAAAGCTGAGGAAAATCAAAAAGCAATACGACCCGGACAATGTGTTCCATCACCCCCAGAGCATTGATTGATCCTTGCGGTTTGCTCCTTTCGGATCATCACACGCGCTCTTGACATCATCTCTGAGCCATCATACCGTACCAGCACCATGGTGCAGCTTCATTGTATAAAATGCAGGCGAAGCGGCAAAACCTCGGAAAGCAATGAAACGACCGAGGGCAATGCTCGTGTTTGGCTCCCGTCCATGAAGAGAATAGCTAGCATTTGTCTGGCTAGCAAGTTTGGCTTCCTCTAGCTAGATACAACTTATGTATAGCAGCGCTTTCCTCTCATGTGTACCATTCCCTAACAGATAGATATGCCCTAATCGCGACACGCTAACACACATACTGTACTCCAGAGCACCGTACCGGTACACCGACAAGCACACCAAAGACCAGAACAGGTGCAACAACACGGGTACAGTACCGTTTGATTGAAATCCCACGTTTTGGCGACGTACCGGTACCAGTACATGGCATCCCCTTTTGTGGCCCTGCCTTGGAGTCCCAAAATTTCCTCTTTTTGTCACACACACGCCTCATGCGAGAATTTGCTCCATGATGCTGCAGGCAGACTATTCAAGGGGAGCGAAAGATGTTTCGTCCTTGAAGTCACGAGCAGAGACGAGCTACGAGTAGACAGCTGACACGGGCCAGACACTCCATCCAGCTACATGTATTGGATGCGCATCATCTCTCCTCTGGAAGCAATGGGTAGCCCTTCCTTGATGATGCCCCAAACTCCCATCGCTTCCTGCTGCTAGAGAGGACGTCTTACTACGGAACTAAGGCGCCGCGGCAATGTCCAATGTCCTTGCCTACTAGAGAGCTAGCTAGACTTCTATCTATCTGCATTTGGCTACTGTACTACTGTAGCTAGCTAGATCTCGTTGCTGCCTCCAGTTGTACATGTACTGTAGCAGGCACCAGTACTGGCACAGGGGCGAAACACAAAAAAAAGGTGCTTCACTCTTCAAATTACGCGTGTCATTCTTGCTCAGAGACCATGCTAATTTTCTCTGTATGTGAAAGCGTTTGTTTAATGCACGGTCCGAAGACCGTGCCACCAGATACGGCGAATATGTTTGTATATAAAGTGTCTGAAACGTGTCAAGTGATGGTGTTGGTTGGTGATTGCGTTTGCCCTCACAAAGCAATCATATCCATCCGCCACTTTTGTAATGGTTGACTACACTGGTAGATTCAGCAACCTAGACTAGCTAGTAGGGATCATGGCTGCTGTGGCTCCATTGTCCCTTGGTGGTGTGATGCTGGAGACTCGAGTGACTTGACTCAGCAGCTGCATGCTGTTGTCGCATTTCTGAACGTTACCCATAACCCTACCATACGATCCTTACAGTTGGTTCGAGTGTGGTGATTGTCGTCGTGATGGCCTTTTGGTCGTCTCAAACAAACCTTGTTTTTTGTTTTTATCCCACCTATCTTCTGAAGATGCACATCAGCAAACCCCTTGCATCTGGCTTGACCTATTCTCTTGGTCGTTCACTGTACATTCCTTTGACTAGTCGATGTAATACTTTGACGCTGCCACAGACAAGAGGACCCCATTTCCTTTTGCCAGCAGAAGTGGTTTCGGCATTGTGTCGGGTTCGAGATGCCGAGAATCAAAAGGAACAATGGAAGCACTGGTGTATGTACTTGGATACCTCAGAAACACCACAATTGCTGCCCAAAGCAGAGGAGCCTGTGGCAGCGCTAAAAGGTCAAACTGAAGAAATCACGGATAGTGAAGATGGTTTACAACCAAGCGTCAACGAGCTCTTTATGGCTGTACAAGAGAATATCGGCCAGCAAGAGTATCAATCCGTGGTGTTTGCTGGGGAAGGGGAACCCACGCTTCGGCCGATTGCACTGGTAGCCCTGGCCAAAAAACTCAAGAACATCCAATCGCCACCTCTTCGGCTGACTACGAATGGTCTAATGTCCAATGATCCCATGAGAAGCCACGTGCTGCAATCTAATGCGATTTCTTCCGTCAGTGTGGCTCTCATGACACATGATTCAGATCAATACGACGAGTTGATGAAACCGGTAATTCCGGACGATGCCACCAACACACGGTCCCATGAACGAGTTTGCCAATTTATTCAGGAAGCTTTGACGGCAGGCCTTGCCGTGGAGGTAACTGCTGTCGAACACCCGGATGTAGACAAGCATCAGACAGAACAATATGCGGCATCTCTAGGGGTTACAGAACCAGTTCGATGGCGCAGCTATTTTCCATAACGGGGTACCTGGTAGCTTATTTCACTGACCGACAAGATGCAAAGCCTGTGTGGCTCAGTTTTACTGTTACCGGTAGCCAGCCCATGACGCATTGGTTGTCATCAACGAATGCTTCTCGCAAAACAGGAAATGTCTCTGGACCCCGAGCTGGATCCTACCACGTACGGTAGCTAGATATTAGTCTCAAAGCTCGGATTTGACTGAGACTTGGACTCAACTCGTCTTTCGTGGCAAAACTGCATCATTTTCCTCCGGATGCAGTCTTGCTAGTAGAGAGACAAGCAAGAATGTATGACAATGCCGGCAGATTGGCATGTGTTCTTTCGTACCAGTACCATATGATACCGATATGGAGTGCGCTACTGGTGGGACCTATGGTGATGCCAAGGTCTATGCCATGTTCCTTGTTCCTGTCTTTGGACACTTTCACGTCCGAAACCTCCGCTGAAGCTACTATTAATTGATAGTATGCTGGTGAGAAAAGATTGCAGCCGGGTGTTAAAACAGACTGCGGGCTTGGTACCTACCGTAAAAAGTATTTCGTCGAACTGTGACCACGCCGAAACGGACGTTGGATCTAAGTATCCGTGGGATCTTTCCCTAAAAACCACTCCGCATTGTCTAAGTAACTGAAGCTTCCTAGCATTGCCAGCGATAGATGGGAGATGCACCTTCGGGTTGGTGGGAGCCGAGTGACGAAGTTCCGAGAGGGCATCAACAGGAGAACGAAGAGTTCGAGGGAAGCCTGGGTCCTTGCTTGGCTGGCAAGGAATCCAAATTCCAGATACTACAGTACCAGAACCGTCCTCTGCAAATCCAATCCAATCAATCAAAGAAAGAAGATCATTGCATCTACAAGAGGAACGCCAATTGGGGGTTGCTGCGTGGGGCTTGATATGAAATAAACCTCCATCAACATGAACCTTGCCAGTTTGAATGCACAAGCCGTGCGCCTCTTGCAACGAGGACGTCCTGATGAAGCCGTATCCCTTTTATTGGAAGGGTTTGAAAGACTCGACGTCCTGAACACAGATGTTCCGGATGAAACAACAGCATCGGATGTTGCTTCTACGTTTTCGACAGTGTCTGCTGATGGTACCTCTAGTGGCTTGGTTTCATCGGGCAAGATACCGCCATCATCCACAGCAACAGCAGACAACAATGCCGATCAATGCAGTCAATACTCCATCAAGCACGTCGCATCCAGAGCCGCGAGTGAACCGTCCAGTCGTAGGTATCAAGCAGCAGCCAGTCGGGCTGCAGAAGCTCGCCTAAGACAAAGTCGATCTTTGGATGAACCTCTCCTGCAAACTGTCGATTCTGATGTATCGGATATCTCTGCGGCAACTGCGTTATCAGCCATTGACTTTGTACAAAGTGAGAACCAGTCCGAAGTGGAATCTGTAGAGATGTCACTGTCACTCCAAGATGAACAGAGGGCAGCTGAAGAGGACATTGCCAGTACGGAACCATTGCACAACTCCACTACCACCCATTTAGAAAGCGTCGCCCTACCAGAGTTCTCAGATGTTGATAACAGAGACATGGCCAATCCAACAGATGAGGAAACCACTTCCTCCACCAACAACAACCAGTCCGTATCCGAAAATATTTTCACGTTTTATCAACGAGCCTTTGTGCTTACAACAACATCAGCAACAATGGAAAGTAGCAACCTGGAGGGTGACAACAACAACAATGACACGTCCAAACAATCCGCAGTGCTCCTGTATAACATGGCCGTGGCACATCACAACTATGCCCTTTACCGCCGAGATCCCGTAGCAGCACACGGGGAATTCCGCACCGCTTTGGTGTTTTATGACATGGCCTTTTCCATGATTCAGGAATCATTGGCGACCGAAGAGGATGACGAAGACTTTTTGTTGCTCTTGTTGGCCGTATTGAATAATCTGGGCCATATTCACGCTCACCGCTACAATTATTTGGAAACGCAAGAGATGTTGTCATCTCTGCAAGAGATACTGGCCGCCATTCGACCTGCATCGGGTGAAGCATCCATTATGGATTGCAGCCGTAACAACCGAGAGGATTTTCTCTTCTTTTACAAAAATCTGGTCGTCTATCAAGAGCAAGAGTTTGCGGCAGCTCCTGCCGCTTGAGAGAGATCAAGAAGCAACAAGGACCGGAAACGGACCAGCTTTTCATTCAAATTCATATATTTATCCATACTTTCTTACGCATAATAATATAAGCATCGTCGGATCGGCTACCGTAGCTAGCAGAATTATATTGGTAACCAAAATTGCCCCAAATGACAATCTCTTTCACTATTCCGTTTGAACAGGCTGATGACTTCCAACCTTATAACAGGAAGAAGGGGAGCTTCACGTTGCCGAGGAAGTTGCCGCCATTGCTGGTTGTTGTTGTGCCATCGTTAAGATTGTCAAGCCATTTCAGCATCAGCTCATTCGATTCTGGTACTTCATCAAATGGGATATGACCCGCAGTGACCAAATCCATGGAAATGTTGTTGTCTGATTCGTTGGCCATGGCTTGAAAGAAGGTCCCAACAGACCCAGCCAAGGGTGTTACTGGATCCTGATCTCCCCATACCAAATGAATGGGAACTTGACGGTCCAACAAAAATTTAGAATGTCGCTCATAGACTTCCATGGGCGTGTCGCCAGGATCATTGGTATAGATCTGAGAGAGCGCTTGCGGTGATCCAGAGTCCTTGGCAGGATAGTAAAAGGAATCCACGAGAACATCATTGACGCGTTCATCCACATCGGTAGCATATTGGTAGAGATTGGTCAGAGCATTTTTTAGCAGTTCCTGGGTCACAACATTGTCCAGCACATACGTCAGTAGAGGTAAATTGCCAAAGACAAGAGCGTCCAAAAGGTCAAAGATTGCCGTAAAGATGACTTTCTGGACCCCCGAGAATTCTCTCAAGACGTTTCTCGAATTCATTCCCACCCCACAGTTGTACATGCCAACGCCTCCGATCGATTGTCGAATAAAACCATCATTGGTATCATCATTATTTGTCTGATCGCCAGTGGCAGCTGTCAGTGCCACCATACTTCCAAGGCTGTTGCCCATGACAACAATGGAACTCGATGGTGGAATGTTGGCCCTGGCATAGTCATCGACTTGCTGTGCCCACAATCGAATGGAATAATTGATTCCGTCGGCTCTACCAGGTTTGGCCGACTTTCCTTGTCCTAGCAGGTCCAAAGCATGGACCGTGTAGCCACTTTGTTGGAAGAGTTGGATGGTTTCGCGCCAATACAAGGTACCGCACCCAAAGCCATGAACCAAAATGACATGGCATTTCTTCTTCTTCGGTATCACAGCAGTAGGCTCGTACACTTCGGAGTATGTCTTGTGACCCTGGAAGACAAAGTCTCGAGCCGCTGTCGCAGTGGGGTTTGCCACGGCAAAGAGTGGCGTTGCTTTAGAAGAAGCTGGAGGCACCAAAGCAGGTACAAAGGCATTGCCTGGTTGCACCAACAGGGCCGACAACAACCCATGAAGCACAACGGCCAGCGTACATGACACGAGACGGTTGATCATGTCGAGAGATAAGATAATGATGAAGATACCTGCATGGGAGTGGGATGTTGCCACCAGTTTTCTTCGAGCGTTATGGGCAGATGGGAAACTGGGAAACACCCACAAAGGATACCCTCAATGTACACGCGACCAACGAAGAAAAAAGCACGACCAAAAAGAAATGCTCTTCCCAAGGGCGGGTTTGGTGCCGGTACCGAAACTAAGCTCTCAGCTCTCTCCGGATATTTCAAAGGATTATGCAGCTGTACATATGGTAGCAGCATCTATCTGCGTGGCTGCAGATACAGTACTTCCCTGGCACCATCCAAGCTACAGCGTGCTGGATACTACGGCACGATAGGAAAAGAGGTATTGTAGCATCTGAATCCAGCACTCTCTATTAGAACTAGCACTCGTTGGTGTGTATTCATTGTTCTACTATACTTGTTTGCGACAATCGGGCTCACCAGAAAGCGAATTGGTCTCAGACATAGCTAGTAGATGTTTAGACATCATCGTTCACTCCTTCAATTTCGAGAGGATCGTCATCCACAGCATTGTCATCTCCTCCAGTCCAAGCATCACCGTCTTCTTCGCAACCCGCTCTGGAGTCTCCGGGGCAGCACCCGCAGGTATCCGAGGACATGGCGTCGGCAGCCAGCACACATGTGGTTTGACCGTCACGACACACAAAGACTCCAACCACATCGTCGGCAATATCGCAATCAAATTCTAGTAGGAAAGCAGCACAAGCGCCGCCAGTGCCACGAGATACTTCATTGACTGTTCCAGGAGCGGTGAAGGTAGTTCCAGTGGTAACGGTATTTCCCATTGTTGTTACGTTCGCGACAGTGGACAATTCTCCGTTGGCACCTTGTCCCATCCCTCCAAAATCACCGTCATCAATGCAGTCAGGACGGTTGTCACCGGTGCAGCAACCACAGGTATCAGTTGAAAGGGTTGCACTTGGATTGACACAGGTTGTGCCCCCTGCACGGCACACATACACTCCCACTACATCGTCCATAATATCACAATCAAACTCCAAAGCTTGCTGGGTAGAACAGACTTGGCTTGTGCGACGGCGAAGAAGCTCAGCGTTGGTTCCAACAACCAAGAGAACATTGACAGCAGCTGCAACAACAGTTGCAGCAGAGATTTTCATGATTGCTTCGTACTGAAGGATAAGTTTGTTTTTTAAAAGCTTTGTTGCGTTGGTTAGGATCGCGAAGTTTTGGAATTGTGAGACAATCAATCATTGATCCAAATTAATCTAGCCGTTGTCAAAATTGCCGTCATCGACAAACTTGGGTGGAACGATCGAACTGACGTCTGATCGTGCACAATCAAGCAACTTGGCTATCGTGCCAAGGGAAGAGTTTTCACTGCTCGTAGCTAATGGCAGCTAGTTGGAGGTTGCTTCATTGAATGATCATCCACGCCATGGTTGGACGAGCTTCGTGGAAGATCTTGTCAGAGGCATCACAATGACGTCATCCGCAGGCAACCGACAACCCACCAACACCAGCTCTCGTCAAAGGACCAATGCTGCTTTGAAACTCATCTTTCCGCTATCCTGCGGATGTCTGCGAATAAACGACACGATGCCATGAAGGAAGAATAGGTAATCAAGGGCTGCTTCTACGTTCAGGAGACTCCAGGTGCCAGCTCCTGACATCGACCTGATTGTTCTAGCTACCTAGTTTAGAAAGAGTTGGCCTACCAGTACACCAAGTGATCTGCCACTGAGCCGTATGGAATTCTGCTTTCCTGTTGCTGGCGAGAGCCGTCACATCCAAAGATTCGCTTTCTCGATGGAAATCGCTACAAGCCACTTTTTTATGTCTTTATGGTTGTGTTCTAGCATGAGGCATTATTCGTCTTGCCCAAGACCCGACGACCCTGAGCCAGCCAAGTAAGTCTTGGGTGTGCGGGCTCTTTTTAGTTTGAACCACTTGGTATCCCGGTATGACTGTATATCACATGAAAGAAGAAGCAAGTCCTGGTGGATGAAGAATTGAAGCTTGTGGAGAAGAAGGTGGCCTTAGGCTATTTGTTGGTACTGCAGTGCTAGTTTTGGGCAACTGGTTTAGTGCACTCTAATCTACTAGTAGAGAAGCACAGCTGTTTGCTGCAACCAACGAAGCGCTGCAATTTGTTGTCCGGTTGTTGTTTGATTCAGGAGCTTTATTCTTTCTTCTTCGTTGCACTTGAGGCATCGATCTGATGATTTGGTGCCAACACCAGGAGAATGTCAGGATGGTACCCACTCAAGGACAAGAGCAACAATGCAGGCCCATAAAACATCCATGTCAAACTGCTCGTTACAACATAGAACGGAGCATCTGTTGTAGTCGGGTCTTGACTCAACAGCAAATTGCCTGTGACCGTATGATCACAGATGAAAAACATGGTCATTCCGACCGCTGTCATTTGGGCATTCCACAGAGGAAATTTCCCAATCAGACAAGCGGCATAGGTTGCTGTGAGGGATGTACATTTTAGGCAAAAGTAAATGGACAGAATAATAAACAAATCATTGAAGCCACCCGTGCGGGGATACCAAAAGAAGGTAGCATTTGCAGCGCAAAGTACAGCCGATATCCCAAAGACAAGTATTACCAAAGGACTCTGGGCTGTCAGCTCGCTGATACTTGTCATTCCACTCAAGTGTCGCTTGATAAATAGGCCCTGGACGATCATAAAGACCAGTATTCCGGCGTCAGGTTGCTGTGCTATAAAACATGTATCCGCGACCGCGATCAAGCTGTAAATGATACGGAGGGCTTTGAAATCGGTTTCGTCCCAGCAACTCATTGGATCGATCCGCCAGGCCAAGAGTGCTGTCAGGTAAGCCACGGTCAATTTGGCACCCTCCGTGTACATGGATAAGGGTACCACAATGGGGTCTTGGACTAAGCGCCACCAATCCACATGATAAATGCCGGACAAGAGAAAAATAATGGCTCCGGTAATGCGCAGCACTTCCGTTTGCTTTTGTTTCACTGCAACAGTTGGTGCCGATACTGAAGAAGTCGCGGCTGTCATGGTAGGAGATTTTGAGACTGCTACCTCTTTGGCTACAACTATAGTACCAGATTGTATGACAGCGGTTGCTATTGCAAAGGACTACCCTCGGAAAATGCAAAAATTAAATGATGATTTCTGCTGAGAACCACTTCCAACTTGTCTTCACCCGAAGATGCGAGTATGCGAGTACTAGTCTACACACTGGTAGTACGGGTAGCTACCGGTACCTGGTATACCTGGTAGCTGGTTCGAACAATAGACTTCAAAGCTGTGCAGTTTTCTATTCAGGAACACGTCTCGGAACGCGCGAGACCTGCCAGGCGAGATCTATGCATAAGTGAGAGCGAGACTCAAAGCGACACTTAAGTAGCTGATAGCGCCAGTTTTGTGACCGTTAATATGTCACCTCCAGACCCGAGTTCGGTCTCGAGAATCGAATCGAACTTCAAAGGTAGACTGCATACTGGTACCTGGGCTACTGTGCACTTGGTACTGGTACACGGCCACATGTACAAAAACTGAAGCGAAAACTTCGAGAAGTTTTAATAAGCCTTTACTACTGGTAGCTAGAGTACCGTACCTGGTACCAGGCACATAGTATGCCACCGTGCCAGCAGTTCTGCTGTGACCTGAAGACCTGGACCTGGTACCACCAGTAACTGCTCCAGAGTACTGGAGTACCATGGGAAGTGGGAAGTACTAAAACTAAGAACTTATCAGAGTTGCCTCGTTACGCCTTCGGAGTATCCATTCGGCCTCTCAACCCCCCCCCCCTCTTGGTTGCACAACGTCCGTCACATTTTCCTGCAGAAGGCTGCCATTGATCTGGTGATCTACATAGCTGGTAGCCGGAACCGTACTGTACTCTAGTAGAAGTGAGGTGGTACTGGGCGCAAGATAAGATAGATGTGCAAGATGTAGTACAGTCCTGTAAGCGTACCAGTTGACTTATACCCCCTCCCCTCACCGAACCCTCATCCCAGCGAATTAATCGCTTTACCCCCCGTCGAGCACATCGCTTTACCCTCGTCTAGTGTTGTTAAATCCTTTAGATGCGTCTAGTAGTGTAACAACGTAACAACACCGATGATGGATAGCTCGATAGAAGTAATGTAGCAGCTGAAGTAGCTCACCTTTTTAGTTCAATGAGTTCCCTTCACCCTCCAACCTCCAATACATACATCACGAGGTGGGATGGTACTGTAACCTGGTAGTCGCTGGCTCATTGTACTGCGACTAGTTAATCTGCTAACGTGAGGAAATACTACTTGAATAGAGGGATCTTGTAGAGGTAGCTACCGCCCGACGAGATCAACTGCAACTATTCAAGACGAGTGCAAGGTAAATGCAAAGTTCGCTTCTTAGTAATTCATAATCTGTGTTGTGAGCTTTGATTGATGCGATCAGTAAAGCTAGTTGTAGCGTGTTGGATCAATACATCGTGGTAGTTGATACGGAAGTCAACGTGGTATCTGCGGGAAACGGTTCGTTGGCAGGATGCTTTACTCCTGTCGAATACTCCAATTTACCGTGTCCTTTTGTTTCGTTGAGAACGTGTTCTTGCCAGCGTTCTCTGTTCCATCGTGTTGACTCATAAAACATGACTCAATCTACTCACGGATACTCTGAGTCGTGGGAGGAACTGTAACGCTTTCAAACTATGAGGTGTCAGTCGACGCCATCTTTGGAGGTGACTACTGGCTGGTAAAGAAACTTGTCTATTTCTTTTTGCACTTCACTGCGTTCGCAGCAACGTTGGAGGCGCTCAATTGCAGTCGCGGCGAAAGAGCTCTCTCTTTCTACCTTGGTTACTTGCATGGCTCCCGAGTCAATGGCGACACTAATGCTTTTCAGCTATATGTGGAGTCCTTCACTAACCAAAACCCACTCCCCGATGATTACCAGAATCACGAGGTGAACCCTTTCCTTGTTCCCTTACTTCCTGTGGGAGATGCTCATTATCATGCGGATGCACTCGAGAGTACTTTCGCAATCAAGCATGTAATCAGCACAACTGTTTATATCTTGGGTGACATGCAAGTCTTTTGGGCTGGGCGATTGAATGTGTACAACGCGTTGGATTTGGACGACGTTCTTCATGAAGTTTACCTTGCAGCTCAAGAACGTAGCTAAAATCGTATGTCTCCCGGATCTCCGAGTCCCTGAAACTGACTTGACCATCTGTTGGGTAGGTAGATAAAACGCCATTATAGTTCAGTTTCAGTGTCTTTCTGTAAGAAGTGTAGATTTGTGGCTGTCTTCATAAGTTCTGGAGTTCTACTTGTTGGATTGGAATCAATGTAAGGAAACACCCTTGATTGTTTTGGAGTCCACCGTGATGCCCAGTGTGTTGAAGAACGAGAAACTTCCTTCGACCTAGGATAGAAACAGTCGTGCTTCTTTTTGTGACGGTGATTGTTGTGGAGTCTAACAGATTGTGAATCCCATGGAATGTCCATGCTCCCGTTGAAAGAGAAATGGTTGAGGCTTTTCGACTACCTGTAGAAAGAGTCGTGTTTCTGTTGAGCCGTTGATTGTGTCGAGTACAATCGTGATGTCCCACTTCCACGCTGTGGTCAAAACAATATGAACGTCTCTCGTTGAGATTGTTTCCTTACGCCACTGCGTCCTCGCTGGTCTATATGCTCATAAATTTGACATTGGATCTGCTTGGACCAAAATACGGAAGAAGAAGAACCAAATGCAGAACGGACAACTCTACACGATTGCTGACAACAACAATGTCGTTGCGGAGGGTTTCTTCGATGTTGACAATGTCCAAATGACCTGGAATGATGGAGTCCAGGATGAGGACCTTCACCTTCCTCAGGTCCGGCGTGTCCATCGTCATATTGGTATGGTTGCGGTAAGTATGAAACGCTTCATGGATGTTACCGCGACGGGTTATGAAAAACTTGATGAATTCGAAGATGAACAGTTCAACAATATGATTCCAAGCGCTGACTGCAAAGCCATGGTGTTGGATCCTGTAGTCGACTGGATTAGCAAAGTCGACAACCATGTCAAAGCGAACTTTTCCGACGAGTACGGCATCAACATTACTTTCTTCCCACGTGAAAGAGGCTTTGATGATCGTGGCGAGATTGGTGGTGGTGGGAACCAGAGCCTTCGTGACATCCTAGGCGAAGAGGCTTTCCGCCGTGTGATGGACGTTGTAGGAGTCTTCCGTATGATGCGCCAGGTTGCTCGTGATATCAATGATATCTTCGACCTCAATGAAACGAGACGTGGGGGGGTTGCTTTCATCAATTCAGGTACTGTCTTGGAGGGAATGGATTATCACATGCGTGACATGGTTGAGTGGCCACGAATGTTTTCTGAGGAAGTCGCTGGTGTCTAATAAAGTATAGTAAACCACGCACATAGGCTCACTGTCTAATGCTTCTTGGCCCCACCTAGAGAAAGTGCCCGGTCCCAGTATATCCCCTTGTACTTGCTCCCCTCTACGACATTGCTGCACACTCGATCTAGGGACTCCCTTGTAATGTCAAGCGCGAAGGGTAGATTGGAATCGAACATGTAGCCGCCTACGAAGCTGACACCATGGTTCAATCCTACTGTGCTCATCTTGCCGTTCTTCCCAATGTGGTGGGCCTTGATGACAGCAACAACTGGCAGCTCCAGTGGATTATCCCGTCTTAGTGGGTTGAACCTCTCTCTGTGTTTGTGTCTCATCCGCACTCTGCCGTAGCTCTCTTCTTTGGCTTTGAAAGTCTTCATCACGGCGTCCAGGAAGACCTTCATCTGTCGCTGCCTCTGACCGAGGCACGGAGTCTTGGAGTAAAGTGAGAGTATTTCCTCTGCCTCCTCAGAAAACCCAATATGGCAAAGGGCGCTCGTGAAGGAGCTTACGAGACACATCCCATCGATGTTGGTTTGGTTCTGGTAGCGAACAGGAGGACTTGAATTTGTCTGGGGACGCCAATAAATAATGCGACCCCTCGATCCCACAGGCAAGTGGCATCGTACTCCTGTTTTCTTGGCATTATCAAGTGTATCTCTCGGTATGTGTTGTTTCGCCCAGTTCATGGACACCGTCGTACCAGCGCCGCTGTAGTCCATTACTGTGATTTGTCCGTCTATGAACTCGATCGAGTCGAATTGTGTTGTATTGAGTTTCTTCTTCAGATCATACTTCTGCACTGAAGCCCACCCACCGACTCGGTACCTTTCGTCCAAATAGGCAGTGTGGGTGAGAATTGATCTCACGTACTTGTCCTGTAGATCTGTTTCGAGTATTGTCGAGTTGGCACACCATATCCTTCCGTGCCAACCGTCACCCTCGACTCTGCGCAATTCCTGTACAAGCTCAGGATGTTGGAGGGCTTGCTCAACAAGTACAAGCCGCTCAATGTTATTGATACACCACCACTTGTCGCTGATCCAGCGTCTTATTTCTGTGGACTCCTTCTCTGTCTGGGAATCGCGAAGCTTTCTTCGGAGAGCACTCAACTCTCTCTCAAGGAATGGAAGATTTAGAGTTGGATGAGACCTTTGATATTCGGCAAGACCGCCAAGATTCTTTGCGATGAGCTCCCGAAGGGGTGGCGGAGGAACTTTGTCTCTTGATAGATCGCTGACTACTCTTGCTTGATAAACGACAACATCTGTGACAGTTGTGTCGTCCTCGGTAACTGCTGTTTTGCTGTCTCGATGGACGCTTATGTGTAGGCCCTCTAAGCGCGATGCCACATTGGGGACTGAAAAGGGGGCAGTGTCTTCTGTAAGTGTCGAGTCGTCATCGGTTCCGGATCTGGACTTGTTCCATTGGCAGTGTGTTCCTGCGTCTTGCAGCTCCTCTGTGTTCTCGATTAGTACCGGGGGGTGATCCATCTTTGGGCACGCACCAAGCAAAAGCGACAGAGTCGAGGTCCTTGTTGGAGGGGAATCTGTGTCCCTTCCCGCGAACCCCAGTCCTGCACACTATCCGAAGCGACAGAGTCGAGGTCCTTGTTGGAGGGGAATCTATGTCCTTCCCGCGAACCCACAGTCCTGCA